CTGGGCGTGTCGTGGTGGGAGGGGGTAAGGCCTGGGTGAAAGGGGGGCCGGGGTACTCGGCTCTACCGGCTGATTTAGTACAACTTGAACCCAGCCACCGCGCTAGCTTTTTTTCTGAAGTAATTCAGGGTTCGGTTTGTAAAGGGGACTCGGGACAAGTAGCAAAAATCCTGGGATTCTTGCCTAGCTGTTGCAGGAGTAAAGCACCTGGGTGCAGAGCAACGGATCCTACAAAAAGTAACTTAAAATGGGAGTTCGGCTGCAGCGATCTAAGCTGCAGCTATTAAAAAGGCCTCAGTGTTTTCTGTCTGCTAGTGGCTGTGCTGTAGGCAAGGAGGCCAGAGGTATGCAGTGTTTTCTGTCTATAGAAAAGTTGTATCTGCACCCACACTAGGGCCAGGACTGGACATAAAGGAGTAGTAGTACCCAAAGCCGAGAAGACACTAAAATAGATTCTGCTTAAGCTCAGGGAGGCTCTTTCCACCAAAGCTAGTCCAGAGAGTACTGCATGCCATCTCTGTTCTGCAATTCCTGGTAATGTCAAGGCTTTCACCAGTGTGAAATATGTTTTTAAAGCATGTTCCTCATGTGAATACTAGCTGCTGCAGTGAAATTTAGTTTCTCTTCACTACAGTAAAATTATTCAATCTAAACTTTTCCTTTTAGAGCTAGAACAGTCCCTGCATTGGTTAACCCTAACATCATAACTACCAAGCACAACTCGGGTATATTTAAAACCAAAAAAACCCTGAAAAGCACATAGCACACTGTCATCATAGCAAGTTCCCTTTCTAATGCAGTTGTTTTAAACAGTTTTGGCTAAATACTATGTACAAATAAATCTTAACAGTTGTTTGAGATGGGATAAATTTATTTAATAAAACAAAGCAAGCAGATTGTAGTTACCCACAGTTTATGATGTGCAATATGACAATCTTGTGTAATAAGTCTAAATCTGTTTACACATTAGTGCATCTAGTCCTTTGACTTCAGTTATTGCACACAAATCATATAAAAGACCTGCGTACGAGACATGCAGACTTCATGAAAGGCAAATAATGCCTACGTAATCAGAGCAAACCCCAGAATATACACAGCCTGGAATGGTCAAGGAGGAGTTCAGGTAACAAATATAACCTACTAATATTTCAATTAAAGGTAACCAAAATAGGTGTTCAAATATAGAATTAATTTTAAATATATTAAATGCTAGTTTTCTTTTATGTTTCAGGCAAGGTGCTGTTTAAAAAACCTTCAATATAATAGCTTCATTTAGAGATGGTAAATCATCAAGTTACACATGGAAATTTTGATTTACATCAAATGTGACAACACAACATACAAAAAAGTTCTTAAAAAATTACTTCTAAAAAAAAGCAAATTATGTTATACAAGGAGAGCCAAAACTCACCTTCTTTGTAAACTAAAACATTTTCTGACATCCATGAACAGTTGGCAACACTGAGTATCAGAAAAATTTTACATGTGTTAAATAGCAGATATGTAGTGTTCCAATATTGAATTTACTGCATACATTTAGTTTTGAATCATACCAGATAGAAATAAAAGGCAGTTCCCCCTCCCCCCTTGGTTTTGGCCATTAATTAGCAGAAACAGTCTTTAATTACATCGCGATCAGCTTGAGTAACTGCAATGCTTGAATTCCTATTCCACAAAGTCCAAAAAACCAATGCATGGGGATCAAAATCCTTCAGTCACGGCTGCTTTCACAAACCTCAAGCGGTTTGATGCCTGGAGTTGTGCGGCTGTAACGTGGGAATTTGGTCCCATGCTTTGCGTGTAAACACAGTGCAATGGAAAAGACTCACAGCAACAAACTCTCCTAGAAGAAAAAACTTGGTGTGTTTCACTGTAGCAAGAGGCTCTATACACGGTAGGGTAACGAAGTACTTCTGGTAATGTGCAGTATTAGACATTTCATGTGTGTGCTCATGTCTTTATAAACATTCAGAATTAATCATGAACCAAGGTGATTGTACCTCACTATAAGGCGGCTTGCTATGGTTTGGTCTCATGGCTTTACCAACTTTTTCTTCCCCATTTTCAAAAATCTGACAGTCCCACCTTCACTGATAGTTGTGTGTGTTGTATGGCTACTTGCTTCCCAAAAAAAGCACAAGTTCTGTATGAAAAAATTAATATGTATATACCACATCGAATCACAATATTACCTATAAATCCAATTTACATTCTTTTATCCTGAAAGCATTTCATATTTCGATTGCTTGACACAAGCTATTGACTGCAGAAGTGAAAGAACATAAAACAGTTCATTCTACACCTCCAACTGCCTGAGAAAGAAAAATACTCTTCCAGTTTTATAAATCCATTCCTTATTTAGGATTTTTTCCATTTGGCATGCAGTTCCTTTGCTGCCAAACAACCTTTCAATGCTTTAATGCACATTAACATAGCATAAAAACAAGCTGAACAAAAGGTGTGTCATCAAGCTCCTTGATCTATTACAGTCAGGTTCCTCCTCCTTCCCCCAAAGAACAGGTCATCTTAGCCTCCCAGTTAAAATCCTGATGGCAGCCAGTACAAAAATAAATCAACTGCTTAATGGAATGAAACTTCATGTAGCTGAAGTACACAGGAGCAATAACCAGGCAAGTGAGCACAAAGGTATGGTTACAGGCAGTCCTTGGGGCAGGGGGCGGGGGAAGTGGCACAAGTTAAGGATGAGAACTACAGCACAGTTTATAAAACCATGAGAATAACTTTTATAATACTGTAAACTGCAAGAGTCTTCACATCTCATGGTTGATCAGGGGCCTCCGTGATCAGATCTTTAGGAGGGCATGTGGAGGAGCGAGGATCCATGGCTGAGTGCATTAAAGGAATATAAACATCATCCATGTTTGGCATGACAAAGATTTTCTGTGAAAAAGATGCAATTAAAATTAAGTTACATTTCATATGCCACTTGAAACCTTAGTTTTCTGATTTGTTTAGTTAAAAAATGCAACAAATTTCCAGATAAAAGATTCTTGAGTTCAGCACTGAGTCAATGCCTGTGCTTAAGCCATACAGCATCCATTAACTCAAGCCATTTAGTTGTGTTACAGTTGTAGATGAAGCTCAGAAATACGAAGATACCCCCACTTTCCATTAAATTGATGTGGCACTACTGGTAACATACTAGCTTTTCTTAATTCTGATGCTTTCTCAGCAATTAGCCATATATTTTCAATCTGTACTTTTAATGAAATAAGCAGTTTTGATTTCTGGTCGATTGTACAGGTTGGGGTCCAGAATGAATCTGGTCAGTAAACTGTTTTCCTATCCTACAAGTATTTGTAAATTTGGAGGTTTTTTCCCCCTATTTTGCACCACCGTGAATGTGATTTTTAAAAATTATTTTATTTGAAAGGAAGTAGAACCCATACTGCCTTATCCATTCTTAATTTTAGACAACAGTTTGGCCCTCTGAAAACACCTAGGATCATGTTTTTATTTAAGTACTACAAATTCTGTACCTATTTCAAAGAAACTGCATTTTCCTCTCTAAAAATCATTCTGACAAGTGCTAAAATTGATTTCCATCCAGGTCTACACATGGTCTTGAGACCATCCCAGAAATCAGTTTCAGCTGAGTTCTTAACATCCTTTCCACTGAACAGGAGCAGCGGAGGATACCGACTAGTATTGAATGAAATAGGGGATGTGCAAAAATTTAAAAAACCCCACCTCTCTAATAGACCCAAAATGATCATTAACTAAATGAAAATGTAAAGTAAACACACCTGAAACTCTTGTTCTAGTTTCCTCTCTATCCAGTCAGTTACATGAACCAGAGTCACTTCTCTCTCACCAAGTTTTGGCCGAGCTTTTAACTCCAGGTAGGGAGGACTTCGAAAGCCGTACCTTTGGAGAGAACACAGAACAGGTTTTATTATAAACACTCCAATGAAGCATACACTTAAGTGTGTTAATAGCAGTTCCTACCTCCATTTAGAACTAATTTGTATTGCACCTCTTCCAAAACCCATTTGAGCTACACTTTACCTTTTTCCTTAGTTGCAATCCCTTAGGTAGCACACACCTGAAACATTGCCCAGTTCTGTAGTAAGTTCCTCTTACCATATTCTGTCAGTAGGT